AGTAAAATAAAACAATCAGAAGTATATAGAGAAAATGAAAAACAAACCAAGGTCGTTTGGTATTAGAAAATCTAAAAACATGTACAGTCGGATCAAAATAGAAATGATATTTAATCTAAACAATAAAGTTACAGTATTAACAAAATAACACAAGGAGAGGACCAACCAAAGTAAAAATCCACTGCTTCAGTTTGGAGATGTCTAACTTAAAAACTTGGATCACCTTTAGCCGATAATGAAGAACGAACATTGACTGCAACAATAATTGGAGAAAATCAACTGTCATAACAGAGAAATCAGTTGCAATCTATCACCTATAGCCATCATATCTCATGAAAACTAACAGCTTAAATTTCATAAAGCACAATTATACTAGGAAAACATGATTGCATGACAAACATAATGCGAATCAATTTATGAGTTTATAGTTATTTTGTATAATGACAAAAAAAGAATTGCCTACAAATTTCAAAGCGAAAAATCATATTATACATGATAGGAAAAATAGCTCTGTTTATGAAAGCACATCAACAAGGAAACTCAAATCATATATGAAGGTATAGAAAAACTCATGTGAGAGCTGCACAACAGCTACTCCCACCAAAGAGCAGCCCTCCATGAAAGGACCTTAAGGTGGACCAGATTAAACCCTCTCCGTGCCAGAGAGCAGCCCTCCTGAATTTCCAAGGAAACAAGCAATGACTCTTTTTTTTTTCTTCAGTTTTATAAAACTGAAAATTAAGTAAGATTGGTAACTAGATTTGTTTCCTCGTTGACCCTTGATCCTGCCCTTCTAAGTTCTAACAACCAACCTCCTTAACCACAAGCTCAAACAAGTAACTTCTTGGTCTGACCTAGTGACCTTCTGATCGAACCTAGTGACCATTGGACTCAACTTGATGACCATCGAACTTGAACCGGTGACCCCCACCTAGGCATAAACTTGTGATCCAACCCTATGACATACTAATAGTCATTCTATATAGTTAATTTGAAATAATTAAATTATCTTAAACAAAAAAAATATTATGTATTCAGAAACCATTTAAGCAATTATTCTTAATTTTCTATTGCAATGAACATAAAACGTTTTTGCTATAGAGGAGTGACTAAACAAGCATCACAGTAAAAAAGGCCAGAAACAAAGAAACAACCCAAGTTTGGTCCACAACTAGCAACTGCAGATCAACCAAATACCCAAATATTGGGAACTAAAAGAGCTAATTTTCATATCCTT